AATTGGGATCATATTCTATACATACTTGTCTTTTTTGTGTATTTTTAAATTTGTTCTTTTTAGATATAGTATTTTGACATACTATACATACATGGAGTATAATTTTCCATTCTTGAGGTTGTACTACACTTTGTCTTTTCAATCTTTCACATTGAGGACATTTTCCAACTATTATATAGCATTCAAGCACAACTTAACCCATCTCATCCCACTGTACTGATTTGGAACACCTATGAAAACTTAAATTGAGCAACAAGCATACCACTTACGGTAACTCTGCATTAATTATTATGTTTTTAGAGGTCTGTTCTCTTGACAAGATTGGTGAATGTTTAGGACATTTGAAACATTTAAATTCATTGTGAAATTGGCAGAAATTCTGCTGCAAAAGTAACTTCTACTAAATGTTCCACTGAACAAAATATTACATGCATAACTGATACGTAACACAGGAAGTGGATTCAAGAAAGTATTCTCTAGAACTGTGTTGTCATTCAAGTTACCAATGGTGGAAAACATGGTGTACACACACACAGGATGGAATATTAAGCCTTAGGATGGAGGGAATTCCTGACTCATGCTACAACACGAGTGAGCCTTGAGGACCCATGCTGACTGAAGTAATCCAGTCACAAAGAGACAGTGTCACTGTAGGATCCCACTCACACGAGGTACCTAGAGGAGTCAAGTTCACAGGGACAGACAGTAGAAGAGAGTAATGGGAGCTAAAAGGAGGAGGAACAGGAGAGACTAAATGAGAAGTCCTGCAGATGGGGACTGGGGGTGGCCGCATAACCATGGGAACGAACGTAATGCCACCGCACTTTACACTTGAAAATGGCATAAAGGCTGGGAGGTGGCTCAGTGGCAGAGTACTTGTCAGCACGTACAAGGCCTGGGTTCGTCCCAGCACCACGAAATCAACAAAAACTAGTCACAGTGATGAACTCTGCATTACACAGAGCAATAAACAAGAACATACAAATGCACAGCCCTGTGACCTGCTTCAAAGATAGAGAACAACAACAGTCGTGATGATGGTTTGGAGGGAAATGAGGAGGGAGAGGGCAGGAAAGAAAATAAAAGGGAATGAAGGTCAGAGCAAAGCCAAGACTCAAAGTCCCCTCTGTCCTCCGTCTTCTGCAAGGCAGAGCTAGACTCTGTGCTGGACCCACCGGAGGGCAAACAGAAGGCCACTCTGGGGCACCCAGCCTCCTCCTGGGACTCACCGGCTGGCAGGAAGTGCTGCGGGTCCACCACGGGCTTCCTGTCACCATCGGAGCTGCCGCTGCTGCTCCAGCTGCCCCAGCTGCCCCGGCTGGCACGGACGCTGCCCGAGGAGCTTCCACAGTCAGAGCTGGAATCCGAGCAGAACTTGTCTGCACACTTCTTCTCGGGCTTCTGGAAGTAACCGTCTACAGCAGGTGAGAGAGAAACCGTGTTTCACTCACACAATTTCAACCTGATGCCATTTCTAACAAATGGAGAGATGTGGAACCAGGAAGAGGCCAGAGTTAGCTCCAGGGCTCAGTTAGCAAGAAGAACCAAGACGTCCACTGACCCTCACACAGGCCGTAAGAGCAGCAGCGAAGAGCTGAGACTCTGCCTGCGGGAAGGACGACTGGACTCATGTGGGGCCAAGAGTCAACAGCAAGTAGAACCTCGATCTAAAAATGGTTCTGGGACAGTCCCAAGATGGCATAAAAAAGATGTGTTGCAAAAGATGTCAATGTTACTTTTGAAGATCGACAAAATCGACAAATTGTCACAGAACATAAGTAGAATCACAGAGCTAAAGGAAGAAAGAGAAGTAAAAAAGAACTCCAAAATTTAGAAGATGCTTGTGATGACATCAGGACGACTACTTAAAGGTACTTCCGCAAACTGGCGAAGTTTTCATCAGCCATTCTCACGAATAAACACAAGAAATGTTAGAGGAAGCAAAGAAAATCTCCAAGAAGAAACTGACGCCCTAGAGTCCATAGTGGAAGCAATTCAGCAGATGTTGGCAGACTTGGAAGTTCAATTACGTGTAAAATTTGGCAGCAAAATAAACATTGAAGCTGATGAAAGTTAAACATTTTATAATACTTATAAAATTTGTTTAATAAACTTGAATTTTTAAAAATGATGATTTCCCTTCTTCAAATGAGATGGAAAGGAAAACTTATCTTTTTAAACTTTTAATTAATGGAAACTCGCCTATTCTTACATCTTATTTATTTTATATTTTTAAAAAAGACAGCATCATCTATATATTTTGCATATATCAAGTTTAGGTGTTTTATGCCATGTTATTAAAACCAGTTAAGCAATTGTTGGTTTCTCTATTATCTAGAATACTTATTCGTTTATAAGAAAATCTAAGTTGTGTCCTGTTCTTTACGCATCTGATCTCAGTTGCTATCTAAGGATGGTGAAAACCGTACAAGAATATATATGGTCCTGTACTTGTCTGCTCAATCCACAATAAAAACTTTGTCAATTACTTAAAAAGTACATAAATATATACAACAGACTTATTTGAACATATATTTAACAGACATCACTATCATAGGTGATGGTAAAAGAACATGTAATATTCAGACAGGCCAACTTTTTTTTTTTCTCTTTTTGTTACTGTAGACTGAACCCAGGGGCACTTAACCACTGAATGACATTCCCAGCCTTTTTTATTTTTTGTTTTGAGACAAAGTCTTGCTAAGAGGCTTACAAGTCTTTCTAAATTGCTGAGGCTGGCCCCAAACCTGCAATCCTCCTGCCTCAGCCTCGTGAAGTGCTGGGATTACAAGCATGCAAACCACACCCAGCCACATCAATCTTCATCCAAATACAGAGTAGAACAACGAAAGAATGTAAGAATATTTTAGAAACCAAGAGATGTACCAAAAAAAAAAAAAAAAGGTTTATGTAAATGTTTGATTTTTTTTTAAATTATACACTTTACACTTTATTTCAGTGCTCTGTAATTAATTGGGGTTTATGTTGACAATGATGTGGAGGATAAACAGCTGTGTATTTAAAAGTAAGGCTCAGGAGGCTGAGGCAGAAAAACTGAAAGTTCAAAGCCAGCCCCAGAAACTTAGCAGGGTCCTAAGCAACTCAGCAAGACCCTGTCTCTAAATAAAAAACAAAAAAGGTTGGGGATGTGGCTCAGGGGTTAATGCCCCTGGGATCAATCCCTGGCACCAAAAATAAATAAATAAATAAAAATTAAAAGTAAGCCTTAAAAAAGGCTTAAAAGGGGGGGGGGCATTTGCCTGTCGTTCTTCCCACCACCAATAATAATAATAATAATAATGGTTCTAGAGGCTGGAACTCGATTCAGTGGTAAAGTACTTGCCTCATGTGTGGAAGGCCCTGGGTTCTAGTCCCAGCACTGCAAAAATAAAATAAAAATGGTTCTAGAAATAATGAACCACTTCTATTAAGAAAACTGAGGCTAGAATCTATGGGACGAGAGGTTTGTAGATAATTTCTCCCTGTTTTATTAAGATGTCCACTAAAATTTAGAAGTATTTGATATATGTGTAGGAAGAATCTCTAATAAAACCAGAAGTAGCCAGGCATGGTGGTGCACTCCTGTAATCCCAGCGGCTTGAGAGGCTGAGGCAGGAGGATTGCAAGTTCAAAGCCAGCCTCAGCAACTTAGCGAGGCACTTAGCAAGACCCTGCCTCTAAATAAAATATAAAAAAGGGC